TTTTTTTTTATTCAGGAGCTAGCATAAACATCACATCTACCGCCATTTTGACATCGACCAAAGCATAACCCTTGCCAACAGGTATTTTCGAGAGAACCTGGCCAAGCTCCGGTTTATTGGTCTAACTGGTTGGCATAACTGACCGAAGTTTGCGTAGGAGGANACCGCCATTTTGACATCGACCAAAGCATAACCCTTGCCAACAGGTATTTTCGAGAGAACCTGGCCAAGCTCCGGTTTATTGGTCTAACTGGTTGGCATAACTGACCGAAGTTTGCGTAGGAGGAAAAAATTCCTGTAAAACTTATTTGGGAATATTCTAAATTTAAATGGTATCTTTTTATCGAATATACTTTCAAATTACGAAGGAGCTGAAAGAAAGTACAATTGTACCTATTTTTCCATCACTGGTATATAGTAATATAGCCTGCAAACCATTTTTCAGAGTATTCTGAATTGTAGAGAAATTTCAAAGAATTCGTAAAGATCTCATCCGATTTTTTGCCGAATTTTCTAAAATGAAATAAAGTGTGCACACTTCGATTCTTTTACAAAGTTTCGAAAAAAATCGGTAAAGCAATAAAACTAATGCTGCTATGTGAAGAATTTGTTGCAGAATTTTTCATCTTTCGTACGAAAATTTCTTTACGAGTTCGTGTCAACCACTTCGTGTAATTTTCATTGAAGATTCGTAAAAAAATCGTTACAGGAATGAGATACTCCTGAAGATTTCGGGAACTTTGGTGTGCAGGTTACATAAGAAAAATCATAAAGACGTGAGTATATACTTGAAGATTCTATTGCAAGCAGCAATATTCTAATTTATTGTGAAATAAGGTAACTGTGTATAGGTAACAAAACGGAACGAATTCAAAGCATTAAAAATGATTTCGTCAGTTTGGAGACTACGCAATTGCCCGACCAATTTTTAATTATTACTTTTTTTTTTAACTGGCTTGAGGCTTAACTCAATTTCAAAATGGTTTGTATTCAAATCCAGAAAATTTATCCAAGCTGTATATACCCGTGTGAAAACATAAAGATAAACGTAGTTTAAGATTCACTTAGGCGACTTGGGTTTTATGCCTATTCCGCGCAAAATATACATGTGTATACATATACATAGAGCCGGACCGGGCTGCAGGGAATATGTCTTCGGCGGGCCCCATATATTTAAATATTTTTTTACTAAATCCCTAGAGATTTTCTGAGGGTTTAATTAGTTTTAAATACCATTTATATTTCACACACATAATTTAGTTGGTATTAAAGATTATTACAGTTAAACTAAAATATAGTCAATTTTGGTATAAGCCTTTGATGAAGTCAAATGTACCTTTAAAGAAAAAATATTAAAAACAAGTAAAAAAGTACAAGCTCTCGCGAACCTGAAATATGTGCATACGCCCGGCGCACATATTATAAGTAATTTTTTCAACTTTTTCAATAATATGCTCAATTAGACTTAGGGCCAGATTCACAGTGCTTAGTTAAACGACTGTTAACTTAACCACCAACAAGAGTTTAACTTTGCATTTTTATTCAGAGCCACTAGTTAACTATAGAAATTCATATCGCCTAAAAATATACAAATTCTAAAAATCAATAATTTTGTATTCGAATTTGAAATTCGTCCACAAAAAAACAAAATTTGTATTTCATAAGAGTTTAACTATGGGAGCCTGCTGGTTTAAACTTTTGTTAACTGAGCGTTGTGAATATGAAACTATTAACTTAGAGTAATTCAGCATACATATTTAGTTATTGAAATATTGGAGTTTTCGTATTTCAAAAATTTTCAGTATACGGATATTAAATCGATTTTAAATGAAGTAGTCTCTTTAAACCATATTCACATTACAGCATAAATCACTTTATTTCGATCAAATTGACTTCACATAACTCAAGTGCTTACAGATTTGCTTTCATAATTTCTAAAGATATGTGATTAGCACGTGTACTTACCGAGTGTGTGGTTAGCACTTGATTAAAACAAAAATGTAGCATACCTTTAGGCAGTTTTTTGACATGTCCTTTATTTTCTTCTTTGGTTCTATCTTTATGATAAATTATAGGCCCATAAATGTGTAGAATGAAATATCGCCACACTCTTATGTGAATTAAGTAAAAAAAATCTTATAGAAGGATGCTGCTGGATTTTGCAGGGTTTCTTCGTTTAACTCCAGATATTAAAAAATATGAATGTTGATTCAAGTTTCTTGAAAGCAACACTGATCTGGTCATGTTTGCAAACAGGCAGTTCTAAAGAATGCTTGCTTGAACTGAGCCTCAGAATTAGAATCCAATAATTTTTAAGGTAACTCGCCAAAACTGTGTTTTATGGTTTAGGCCGTTTTCTCGGAACGTATTTAATGAGCCAACACTTTGGCACTGATTTGTCAAAAATTGGGACCTTCAATTAAACTCTTTTTGTTAGCAGCTCCACATGTCACAACGGTAATATTGTAACCAAAATCTCAAGTTTTGAAATCACATAAAAAAAACGCCGAAACACGTGAACTTAAGATTGGGTCGTAGATTACAGATCAGGTAATTTGCCCAAGATATTTTCGTTTTTATGAAAAAAAAAAAAATCAAATTTGAACAAGGAAAAAATTAAAAAATAAATCTTTTTTAATTGTTTTAAAATTGTATTAAAGCCTGTTATTTTGCCAAAAAATCAACCTACTAGCGAGGGAAATCGATGGATTAAAAATATTTAAACAAGTTTTGAATGGTTAAATGACAATGTGCTATAAATCAGGGACGTGAACCGGATGAAAAATTTGTTTGGTTCGGTTCAGCGGTTCGAACCGTTTTTGCACTTTTGGATTGGTTCGTCAAAGCGGTTTTTTTGGTCTTTGAACCGGGGTTTCGGTTCGGTTCAACGGTTCGAAAAACAAAAAAAATACGCGCAAGTTTAAGTGTCAGGTGTCAAGTGCAACAACGCGCAAGGTTAAGTGTCTGTCAAATGAGATGGGTTGCCTTTACATTTGATATCGTCACATGGTAAACAAACATGATGGGTATTACCATGTTTACCAAAAAAAAAAAAGTGGGTACATTTATCTATTGAAAATTGGTTGAAACGAACCTTTCAATCTTAATTTTTAATTTTTAATCAATCTTAATTCGCTTTTCGGTTCGGATCAAACATTTGTGGAAAATTTCGGTTCGGTTAATGGTTCAGTTAATTAATAGAAAAGAGCGGTTTTCCGGTTCAAAACCGTTTCGGTTCAAAACCGGTTCACGTCCCGGCTATAAATTTTTGTATGAAATAAGGCCCGGAAATAATGTTACTCGTGCATGGCGTATGAGTAATATTTTCCATGTTAAAGTTTAACTTTTTGTTCATTCGCAATGCAAATCTAAAAATAAAATATCTTGGGAAAATTACCTGCTTTAGAAAAACGGTATAGATCCGCAATCTACGACCCAAAATTAAATTTACGTGTCTCGGTTTTTTGTGTGTCGTTTTAGCGTCCCTACAGTGTAATTCATTGACGCCGAATGCCAATAAAATACATTCAAACAATTCCATGTACCGTTCTTATACCTTTTAAAAAATCGTTGCCAAGTCCCCTAACATTCAACGGGGCCAGGGCTAAATAACCCCCTAACCCACGTTACTCTCGACGGGCGTGTATACATACAGTTTCAACAACTGGCTACTCTTTTTCAATCAGAAAAACTACATAATACATATTGTAGGGATCAGTATATGTAAGATTCATCCACGTCTAAAATATTTCCTTCGTATTTATGAATATTTATTACTTTTTATTTAAATTTTTATGTAAAAATATTTTTTAATGGGGCTCTCTCGTGAAATGGCAAAATAAGTTAAACTAATTTCGAGTTATGCACAAAATTGTGTTTTTTTTTTGTTTTTTACTTCATACTCTTCCTACAATCTTCCATGATTCAATAATACAAGGTTAGATAATTATTGACAGCTGCGGTTTGACACTCCCTTACAAAAGGTTGCATTTACGAAGGACAGAGAAAGGGCAAGAATGCAATCCCTTGTTGCGAAAATGGTAGTAGAAAAGTACGCAAAGTAGGCAATTAGTAGTGAAATTCCTTTTGTAAATTCTAATGTATTTGCAGGAAATCTGGCATTTTAAACGAAATGTTGAACGTAATATTGATATATCTACGTGTATTACGTAATTTATATGCTATTTAGCCGTATAAAAACTGCAAAATGACTCAAAATTAAAATAAGACTACTATGAATTGATGTAAACATCCAATGCTTATGTTTTCATCATTTAAATATGCTTCATATGCATATACCAATAAACATATTGCAGCTTATACTTTTATTTCACACCAAAGCTACACTGTTTCCATGTAAATTTGCAAAGAAGCAACACGGTGCCAGTGCTAAGGGAGCGGTGCGAGAGAGACAACTGTCAGTTTATCGAACCTTGTATTATTGAATCATGACAATCTTCCATCGCTTGCCTTGAACTGATTTATGTAGTATGTATGTATATACAAATCGTCCCCAGCTCCTTCTGCTAATACTATTTTCCTTTCCTTTCCTTTAAATAACAATTCCAAGGAGTAAAATCACGGCAGAGTAAAATCACAAAAGTCCAGTGTTCTACGTCTGCAGCATCATCGCAACGCTTATTCTGTAACCGATCAGGCTTTACTCTCATCTAACTTATTATCAATTGTTTGCCGTGACGACGAAATCAATAAAACTTTCCGAATGTTTTTGAAGAGGAACCACTTATCTTTGTTTCTGCTCCTAAACGAGTTTTAAAAAATGCATAAATTGGAAAAAGTTTATAGAATATGGTTTCGAAGAGTTTTGTAATACAATCATCTACTAAGAATTCATACTTTTCTTTGTTTTAATAAAAACTACATTTTCTCTATCATTTAAAACTCTATTGACATAACTTATATGGTTCCTCTACTCGTGTACCTTAATTATGTAAAATGATTTAGATAGAAAGAAAGTTGAATAATGTATTTTAGGTATGTATAAAGAGGCTTATGGTAATTTGTGGACTAAATAAAATTCGCACCGTTAAAAATTAAACTTCAAGTTTAGTTTGAGTATTTAAATACGATTTTAGAAATCAGAGCCCGAATCACGGCATTCGTGAACGAATAAAACTCCATTCGAATCGAATGAAATTAAATGGCAGCTGTTTTCTCTCTAATGCAATTTAAATGGAACAAGTGAACTCGTTTTAGAATGCTAAAATCTAAAAAAGAAATTTCGTACCGAATTTCATTCGATCACGGATGACATGATTCGGCCCCATCTTTGAGCTATCGTCTCTATCAAGAGGTAAGTATTTTTGTAAGAACAACCCCAATTTGGATATACCGTCCCACCTCGGAAAAGTAATAATTGGCGAAAAAAGTTTACTTAGTTTTTATTAAGAAAGAGTAAATTCTCGCTATACATTCCAGCGAAAAAAATATTGACGGAATTCGCTCTTCTGTGTATTCGTTGTATAGCTTAGTATCCAGCTCTTAAGAAAACGGTCAAAAAAAAATTTCCATTATTTCGTGTGTGTGTGTGTCTAAGGAATTTCGACATCTGATATTTCACAGCCTGTTGCTTCATTCTTTTCTCCAGAAATAATGGAACGGGCATATATTTCCGTTGCAGGCATGGGTTGCCTTTGCTCTTTTTTTACTAAAAACTTTAGAAAACCGTAGTAGAAAGCGTAGCAAATTTCTGCGTACTGCCTTAAGGAAATTTGATACAAGACAATAGAGCTGGAAAACTATCGATGACACTATCGATAGTATCGATGGTTTTTGACTATCGAAAACATCGATGGTTTTGTAAGCAATATCGATAGTTTTCACTCATTCATACATACATATATACAGATGTTGCATGAAGCCAAAAATTGTTGATAAACTTTTGTTTCTTAATAAAAGTATCGACATATTTTAGTACTTCTGTTATGTTTAATGTTTTTTTTTAATCAAAACTATCGATAGTACCATCGATAGTGTCGCCATTTCCGATAGCATCAATACTATCGATGGTTGTGACTATCGACTATCGAAACTATCGATGGCCACGACCATCGCGGTGACAGACAAATTCATTAAATTGTTTTCGGTTGTCCCCTCTCTATCTTCGTCAAAACTTCAAAAAATTCAACATTTTCTCAGTTAGATTACCACGAGATAGTATATGTAATAATTTTCTCCAGATCTCAGCTTGATCCGAGATGTTGCCATTTTTGACCTGGAAATTTCACATAAAATGCTTCAAATTCGAAAATTTTAAAAAGATTATTTCTTGCAAAGCAAGAAAAGGTATCTTCAGTGATTATGCCATCACACTCGATGCATATAAAACACCAGCGTGCTGGTATATGTATTATTTATTTCTTTGCAAATGAGTCGACGATTGTTAATTTTCCTAAAAAAAAATTGTACAATAAATCGTTTTTTAATTTACAATTGCAATATTCCGCAAGAGTATCCATCAAGTAATAATGTTTGTTCGGAGAGATCGTTGTTTAAGTAAACACATCCCTAGAAATAGGAGTGACAGTTTTAAACAGTTTTTTTAATTTTATTGCGGATGCTGGCAGAATGGCCCTTGTTAAGAATATTATTTCCGCAACTTAATTTGAAAATCGAGGAATCTTCTAGAAATAGACGTGGCAATTTTAGGACCAAAGTTAAGGAGTTTAGATTTTATTGTGGACTTTGGCAGAATATCTATTCACTAACAAATGCTTGTTCCGGATTTCTTTTTTGGAAGAGAATGAAGTCGCATTTTGAAGTTATTGCAAATGCGTATTCAAACGAATGTTTTTCTAACAAGCTACAATGCATGAAGAAAGGGGTAACCCGACTTGCCATTTCTGCATAATTAAATTACTTTTTTCATTATGACGTTTTCTGGAAAAATACCCATATTTTATAGATACATAGTACCTAATATGTACACCAAGGTGGTCCTTAAAAGTTTACGATATTTTCAGTCTCAACCCCTCAATCGGTAATACCACGGTCACATATATCACGAATAGAGATGATTAAAGGCCAGTATGCAGGTCTCAAGAAAAGTAAAAACTCTATGTAAAATGGCGTACAAGAAATGGCTAAGAAATTTTCTTGTGAAAATTTTCTTGAGGCAGTACGCAGTTCTTAAGAAATTTACTCTGCTTTCTACTACGGCTTTCTAAAGTGTTATGAAAAAAATAGCACAAGGCCACCCATGCTTGCAACACAAATATATGCCCGTTCCATTATTTCTTGAGGAAAGAGTGAGGCAACAGGCTGGTGAAGTATCATATGTCAAAATTCCTTGGAAATAATAATTTTTTTCTTTACCGTTTTCTTGAGAACCGCACACTGGCCTTAAGGCGTTTCGCACAGGGGCCAAAGTAAATGTAAATAGACATATATTCCCTAATAGACACTCAAAGAATTAAAACGATTATTTTTTCATCTAATACCCAAAATCGATATTATCACATATAAATATTGGTACCGCTTGGAGTCGGTTAAGGCGTGTCGCAAAGGAGTCAAAGGCCAGATGGATTCAAAAAATTAAAAATATTTTGGTTTTTTATTTAATGCCCAAAATCGATACTACTTAAGACGTGAATACAACATACAAATTTCGGTCCCGATTGGAGTCGGTTAAGATGTCCTCATATGGTAATCTGAACTTTGACCGCTATGCGACACGCCTTAACCGACTTAAATCGGGACCAAAATGTATATGTGATATCTTCG